TACCATAATTAGTATTCGGTGTTTTTGTAATTAGTAACATAACAATTATGTTATAAATTATTTTTATTTATTAGGAATACTTTGCAAAAAAAAAAAATTTACATTACAAAATATGAGTATTTAAAATTGTTTGACATCAACTTTGTTTAACTGCGTCTGAGTTATATATGTTTTGTTTAATCAATAAAATATAAAATAATTTTTAGATTTGATATAATTCAAAAGAATATTCCTAAAGGTATTCGAAATAATATTCTACCCAAGTATGAATTTCAAAATAACTGCATGACTCAGTTGAAGTTAATTTATGTCCACTTACAGTTTTGCATGTTTGCAAAGCTGCGAAAATTTCAATAAGATATTTTCAAATTCATAACGTACACCTTAAAAGTAATTTACTATAATAATTGTCATAACACCTATGAAAAAAATAATATTTTTTGATTTTATGACGAATATAATTTTATATTTGATTATATTGTATTAAAAAGTCTAATTATGTGGCTGAGTCGGTCACGTAGAAGTGCCTGATTTGCACTGTTCCGAAAAATAATATTGTAGTAAAATCAGCAAAATAACAAGAAAATTTTTTATTTTTTTAATTGTTTTCGTGAATATTTATCCTAATAATCAATAAATATAAACATGAAATGGGTTGCTGTGAAAATCCATTTTTAACTTTCCGAAACAAGGCAAGATTGAGCTATCTGTAACACTTTTTGCTCTTATATCGAATATCCCAGATAACTTAAAAGACACACAGGTTTTAAAATAATTAATATATTTTCCTAATTAATTTACTTTATTTAGTGTGGAATAAGAATGTTAAAGTGAATTAAAATATTAAATATTTACAAAAAATATTAATTAATTATAAACCGTTGAACTAGTTCAATTACTAAAAAAAAAAAATAAACCTTATAATTAACTAGGAGCATAGCATATGGAGTTGTCAGGATGCTTTTTTTTTTTAAAAATACTTTTACTATCTATTTTTTTTCTTAATTAATCGCTAAACCAATTAAAAATTGTATGATATATTCAAAATTTCTTAAGGGGACAGGAAGTAACTTCTTAATTTGTCAATACATATATAATCCATTTTTTAAGAATTACCTAAATAAAGCTAAGGTATGTCAACTGGCTCCACTTAAAAAATCGCCTTACACCATGCCTGTAGTAAGATGACGAATTTGACTTTATCTTCTGAATAATTAATAAATATTAAAATAATTATTATTAGTTAACAAGCTTTTTACCGATAATTGGTAAAAATTGAGATCAAATATTGGTCTCAATATATCTAGTATTATTTCTACTAACGTCTTTTGTTTGCGTAATCGACTAAATTGTATAGAACTTAAATATAAAGCTAGTGAATCTAAATTTTTGACCGGCAGTATACATTTGTAATTATACTTAAATAAACAGGAACTGTTATTGTATTCATTATTTTGATCATTTCTAAAATGTTAAAAGTTCGACCAAGTCCTGGAGAGTGAAATCTTGTGTAGAGTGTTGTAGATGTTGTGTCTTTTAAAATCGCCGAAAGAAATAGTTTAGACGAAGAAAAATGGCTTTTTATTGTCTGAAGGGTGTAGCCCAGCGATCCCTACCGTGATCCTGGTAGCTGAGGCTTTGTATTCTATTGATTAATTATAATGAGGGCCCTGTGTGTAGGCGTTATTTAATAATCTCTACAATAAGTAGATTTTATTTCATATGTAAAGGGTCATTTTGTATTTTAAATAAGAGAACTCTGTTTTGGTGATCTTGTATAATTATAATGTGTGACATTTTATCATGATGTGTTTATATATTTACGTTAAAATATCACATATCGTATCTAGTTGAAGATATTACGCTAAAAAATTGAAAATTTTTCCTTCGTTCCCCGTTAATGATGAAAATCTCCTAAAAATTATGATTTTTAAAATTAGTAAATTTCGACTTTTTTTTTACTTTTTCTCTAAAAGTTTTTCTGAAAAGTTATATAACTTATTAAAAATGAACAAATCAAAACAATTTTTTTTTATAATGAATTCTCATACATTTCCATTTTATTTGATATAATATTTTTCAAAATCTGATTCTTTATCTACCTACAAGAAGGATTTCAAAATAGTAACTTTTTTACAAAATAAATCTTTTCCAACTTAACATTTGAAAATGTTCCTGAAATACTGCGTATTTATAAACTCACAACAATGTGCCTTACTACCGTTGATAATAACAATGCTGCTATTATCGATGTCATATAAAACCAATTAGCTACCTGTATTTGTAATCCCAAGTGTATACATGTATATTAACTCAAAAATTTGAAACTTTTTATGTTTATATCTAATAAACGAATAAAGTTATATTAAAAATTCAAATGTCATTTGTTATTAAATTAAAAACTCAAATATTTTATTAAATTTAAAATACGTGTTCTCATTTAAAAAAACTCAAGTTAATGTTTTTTAACCTTGAAGGGATGAAAAATATCATATTTTTTACTCGTGACATATATTTGAAATATTCTGGAGCAATTCATCATGATCGTTTGGTGTCTAAAGCCATATATTCACTAAATCTTTTTATGTTTCGTGATCAATTTAAACTATCGAAAGGTGAAGAAAATCCATTGCGCAATATTTGTACATTTCTCATTCGATTATATATTAAAGCGTGGTTTGATGCACCTATTGTTTCATTAGCTCCTTGTCATGATCTTTTTTTTTGAAAAGTCATAGCAACTAAAAACCTATATCTCAGTTAACTTTTAAAAAACTATGTGCACATTTGTAGTACTTAGAACCTGAAACACCGGCACTTGCATTTTTCGATACTAATTTAACAGTTGAAATTAAAACTAAAATGTTTGAAATTACAAAATCAAACAATAATTCTGATAGTAGTAAAAGAATTAATGTTTCATATAATGAAGTACTTCTATTTCAGGAAAAATAAATATATGATTGTATTTAGGTTGAATATATTTCCTTTTTTTTTATTATTTGGAATATCAACATCATCGACCCGTAGGCCATTTATAGCATTTATATAAGCGACACCAGGTTATTTAAAAACCAACAAACCGATACCAGCACTTTGCACGGTAGTGTCCCATTGGTTACTGTCGGTAGTAGCTCCACATACATTGACATTCGTGTTATCCGCCGAGTTGTTAGCTGGAGAATATATCAGTACGTACGAGATGCACAGACAGTACAATGGACCGATCATTGTGGCACACTGGTTCGGCCACAAGTATGCTCTGTACAATTTATGGTATACTGATTGGTGCACGACTATTCGTTAAGGTGCATTTGCCCATCATTGATACATTGGTAGTCCACTCATTTTACGGCAACGAAATTGGCCGAAGATTATAAACGAATATTACCGACGTCGGTGGCCACACGGAAGAATAATTTTTGTATGGTAAATGCTTAAAAGTAATGTAGTTGGAAGAACCACATAATAGTAAAACCGACCATTTTAGTTAGTAATTTCAAGTCATTAATTAAATGTTGAGGAATTTTAAAGGATTTTAATTTATTTAATTTGCTTGTCTGTAACTAATAATCATAACAACTCAAAAGGTAATAATACAATACTGGTTATCGACCATATACAATTTTATTTAAATTATTCTCCATTTAGTAGTACAATATTAATTATAGGTGCTTGTATTGATAACATTGATAAAACATCGCGCGCTTATAAAGAAGTCACGATTATTTTCAGCGGTGTAATTATTTATAGTAATTTGATAAAATCAATTAACAATTATTTATTACAAGGAATAACAAAACAGTTCCCAATTAACTAACGAAAGTTTCCATTTAAACTTACCACTAGAAATAGTTTTTTTAAATAAACTAGATTGATATTTACTATAGTTTTTATAAATTAACTAAATTTGAATCCATTTTTTATGAAAATTGAATTGTAATATACTTAAAAAATCAAAATGTATAAACTTTTATTTAACAAAGTTAATAGGATGCGGAATTTTAGAAACATTTGTGATGAAATGAAGAAATTAATCAAATAATAGTAAAGATATGTTGGTAGAGAACGAGATAAGCTATAGGTTAAATGTAAGTTTGATACGTTAAATTAAATGAATGTTTTATTCATATCCTCTATTTCTGTTACAGAAATTCTATTAGAAATCTTCTAATTAATACAAAAAATATAATTTCTTTACCAATACACTTACCTTGAAAAATGCCAGTTTTAAGTAAAAATATTTTAAAATGTTGAATTTTACCCATTTTAAAAATTAAAAATTTTTAGGATTTCCCCTATTGATAGGAAATGAGATAGTTTTACCATTTTTGATATTAAAGCCTTCAACTAGATATGATTTGTGATCATTTATGTATTGTCCAGTAAAATCGGACCAGAGAAAACTAAAAAAATGTAGTGACTATTACAAAAATAAAAATAATAAACTTTATATTTCATTTATCGTTAAAAATGTTTAACGTGCACTTTGTAAGGTATTGCTGTGCATGAGATGACTAGAAAAACTACATAGACCAGCTAATCGAAATCAAACCCCATATCTTCGCACTAAGGTACGACACTTTGCCAACAGAACTAAGTAGATCGCCTCATAAATTAACTTTACACTAAAATTATATAAATATACCTTTTAAGTTTGGAATTGATGCTAAAAAACAAATAAATATATAATAGGCATATTAAAATTTAGTTTTACTGATAAAAAATTTAGAATTTATTCATTATGTTTTTTTTAAATTTATTCTATTAAATCTCTTTAAATTTAAAAAATGTAAAAGTAAATAGCAATTTTTATCACACGTCATATATAAATAAAAAATATAATTTATATATTATTGTCATAGAACATGTGAATAATATGTTATTATTATTTTAAAATAATTTTCGCTTATTTTTAATGTTTATTCAATCATTTATTTACTTTTGACATCAATAAAAACGCAAAAATTTAAAAGAAATTTAATAAACTATATTCTAAGTTATTATTCGGTCAATTATATTATATAAATCTAATTATTCTTGTGAAATGTTTTACAAAATAAATTCTTTTTTATTAATTTTTATGTGTGGACATTTTTTTGAAGAAGTCTTTGGAAATATACTTTTAATTGTCGGGGTGATTTATTTAATAGTTTATTATAGATACTTTTTATTTAATTTTCATGTGAAACTTTTAGTATAAGATACCAATTAAAATTTAACAATTTCTTAGAACTAAGATAGTCATTATATAGTTTAATTTTTAATATACACCTTAAAGTATTAAGATTAAAATATATAATTTTTAATGCCAATTGTGATTACAATCATCAAATATTTATTTAAAATTTTAAAATATTGTTTTTTTATACAGGATAAAGTGTTTATAGATAATACACACGCAAGAATTGGATATGTAGGTTTAATTATTATTATTGTTATTAACTTCAATAAATTTTAAGAATCAACTATTTTGAAATTTAATTCAATAATATTAACATTCAATGTTTATTTATAGCATACAGATGCTAAGTGGATTGAAAAGAACTATATGTTCAAACCTTCAAAAGTAAGTTTTTATTGTGTATTGTTACCATATAGATAGTGTTATTATTTTTCAATATTTAATAATAACATTTTACTGTACTATTAACGTGTGCAATTTTTTATTTTAGAAATATTTACAGTGTGGTCCTTTAATATTGGTGAGAATTATTTTAAGTAAACATTATTACAGTTTTAATAATAGGGGAACACGGGGTTTTGATGCACATCTCAATAAAAGTTGTACACTAGTAGTTTTTAGATTAAAGATGTCAATAACAAAAATAATCGTCTCGCCCAGTTTAGTATGTAAACAAAATTTTAAATCGTTATTTTCATTGTAAACTACCTACGAAAGAAAGCAAGAGTGAGTGACATAAAATTATTATTTTTCCAAAACCCTTTAAATAAAATATTTTTAAGCTTATAGTTATACGATTTTAAGATAGATATACAGAATGACTATTTTATCTTAACCCATAATAACTAATACAACGTAATTTAACTTTATTTGTTTATTAGATAAAAACATTTAAAGTTTCATATTTTTGAGCTAATATACATGTATAATATGCATAGGATTACAATTGCAGGTAGCTAATTTCTTTTTTATGACGTCGCTTATTCACAGTTATGGAGTGTTTATTGTAACTCACGACTTAATCTACAGAAATGCTTAAAGTGTAGTTGTAAGACCAATGTGTCTCACTTTAGCACATCTGTTGATTAAGTCTTGAATTACAATAAACGCTCCATATCTGTGATAGCGATATCGTAAAAAAGCCAATTATCTCCCTGTATTCGTAATCCCTCGTGTATAATACAGTGTTCAATGGATCGATCAATATGGAAAACTGATTGGTCTACGTGTATACTCTGCACAATTTAGTCGGTATACCGAATAGTGTACGCAAATTTGTTAAGGAAGCATATGCCCATCATTGATAAATTGGTAGTCGACTCACTTTACGACAGTGAAAACGACCGATTATTATAAACGAATGTTATCGACGTCAGAGGCCAATAAGAACACATCGTTTCGTCTGTTGACTGTCATTTTAATGCAACAAAATGGGTATTCTTAAATTGTATAGAATTTATATTTGGCACACGACAGAAAACATCCTTTCTATACAAGTTATAAATTTCTTAAAACCTCATTTTTGTGACTTTTGAGATTTAGTTATAAGCTATAGATTACATAGTGCTTGTTAGATTTGTGGATAGATGATTCAATCCAACAAACATTATTTCGAATATTCATAGACACAATAATATTATGATTATTTTGAAGTGGACTGTATAAAAACGGTAAATAAATAAGTTAAATGGTATGTCCGTGCACTATATATCATACATTACGTTACTGTTATTATTCATCAGAAAATCATAGGCTGCTCTTTTTTATTGCTATTTAATACCAAAAACGGTAGAACATTGAGGTCGTGGCACAGTAAGGAGTCGGTATAGTTGGGACTAGTATAGATGATATCTGACAAAGTTTAAAATCAATATCATAAGAATCGTTTCGATGCAAATCTATAGATAGTGTATAATTTAAAAAAAAATTGGTGGATTATTCCAAAAGCTACATGATCTGATATTTCCCTATAAATATCCTGTGTTGAGCCGAATGCTTACTGCGACGGCGTTTATCGGTTAAATAATCATGATAAGGTGCTGTGATTTGTTTGTGCGCTCGCGAGATAGTCAGCTGTCTACTACTTCAGACCGGTTCATGGACGGCATTTGTGTGTACATTCACCCCGCTCCTTTCCTATCTTGAACGTTATTTGCACTGCTCACCGCATATTTTGTCGCCTTATGATTTAAATTGTTCTTAGCAATTTCCGGCACTGTGTACTTAGTTTTTTTTTTTTGACTCTACTCTAAAGGCTAACCGTGTTGTCACCAACGGACCNCTAAAGGCTAGTCGTGTTGTCACCAACGGATCGCCGGGTCAAACGTCGGACGTTTTGTCGGAAATTAGCCATCATCGGAACTGGTTGTCGGTTAATTTTCGTCCGTAGCGGTCGTGATTTTTGTTGTGTGCCCTACATCTGTTTTTTATAAATATATATGTATCTGTTTTACGTGAGTGTCCGCTGTTTATTTATAATGTAATTTTTTTTTATTGGCGTCGGCTGAACCTGCCTCCAGTTTCTTTAGCCCTTCGGGGCTGGTAATGTATAGTTTATGGTTTAATGTTTTGAACCAGAGTCTTTTTTATAGTGCGCCGTGCCATAAGCACGTAAAGCGAATTTTTTTTTTTATTATATTTTTTTCAATTGCCCTTATTTTTTATTTAGGTCCCGCAACATGGCAGGCGTGTGACAGGACCACCTGTCATGTTATATCCATATTTTTTTGTGATTTTTTTTATAGGTTTTGTATTATACAGGGTGGCACACCCTTTCACTGACAACTTAAATAACTTTTATCCAGTTAATATTTTTAGCTGATTTTTTTTTTAAATATTAGTTAGACGTTAGGTCTATAGCAATATCTCAATAATTAATTTTTTTACATTTTATTAAAAATATTAATTATTTTAAAATTTTAAATAAAATGTAAAAAAAAAATCTAAGATAGCTACTTTGTAGAGTATAATTTAAGAAAAATTTTAGTAAAAAACGGTAGCACAGTGGGGTCGCGGCATATTGGAGACATTACATAGTTAGTTCCAGTATAGATTTAATCTGAAAGTGATTAAAATCACTATCATAAGAAACGCTTCAATGCAAATCTGTAGATAGTGTTTAATTTTAAAAAATTGATGGATAATTGCAAAAGCAACATCAACTTCTATTAAAATAAAATACAAAACCCATAATTATCATACAAAAATAGTATATTTTTCAATATGGTAGCCATTTGCGTATAGAAGATAGATCGTCGGGACAAATTTTTTTTTT